CATCTTGCTGAGATTGGAGAGAAGAGAGGCGTAAGAGAGAAAGTGAGAGAGGTGAGAAAATGGTGTCGAGATCGGGAATTTGCACACGGGAGGTGGTGGTGGACGCTCGCCATATGCTTGGCCGATTATCATCGATTTTGGCCAAAGAACTACTCAATGGCCAGAGAGTCACCATCGTTCGCTGCGAAGAGATCTGCTTCTCAGGCGGCCTGGTTTGTCGGAAAATGAAGTACATTACGTAATATGGCTTAATCAGTTAACCAAATGCATATTCTGTCATCTAGAAGAGGTGTTTTCTTTACATTCAGGATTCAGCTCACTTTTTTACCCATATGTCGTTCTCCAATCTTATGCTTTCCCATTTTATATTATTAGAAAATCCATCTGAGTTCCCTTCAAGTTGTTATGAATGGTTTTCTTTTATTATCTTCATCCAGCAGATTCCTTCTTGCAGTGATCTTTTAGTAGTAAGTCATGCTGGAAAAAACCGTAAGTCCTTTGTGACGCATGTATCGATGATGAAGGTGACTATGATGAGGGGAATTATAGCAGACCTCTGGCCATGGGTGGTCGGTTTGCTTGCGAGGAAGTATATTTAAGGTGCCAGTTCTGGTCATTTATTGTTTCAGTTGTTTGTGTTACAGATTTAAATCAATATTTAGTCGTTGAAAGAAAGGGAATAATATTTCAGAAGTAGACTACATGCTTGGTTTGAAATATGTATGGTGGCAAGCTTTTCCACTCCTACATTGATGACACTGATAAGTAAATATTTTGCAGTGATGATGCAGATTTTGATAATAAGTCAACTACCGGAGCCCAATGGTTTTTGATGGACAAAGGGGGAGTACAGAAAGAGTCAACTACCGGAGCCCAATGATTTTAATCTTTTACTTCTCACGTTGTTTTAATTTGTTTGCTTTCATCCAAATATCCAAGAATATTTGAACAATCATCAAAACACTTTAACCATATTCCTAATCCAAGATGCAAAATTCAAATTAATTTTTTTATATTTCAATAGATATTTATATTAGGTTGGATTGGTTTAAATATATTGAATTTTAAATCGTCATACTTTTTTTTAATTGATAAACTGTAATTGGTACCATAGCTCTTAYTTCTTCAAATTGTATTACCATGTGAAGACCAAGTGTAAGTTATATCATCGTTAAAATCTCCTCTAACAAAACCATTGAAGTTTCAAAATCGTCAAAATTCACGGCTCCCGCCGCATTGCGCGGGTACACAACTAGTATATATATATATATATATACACGTCTTTCCCTCACTCATACTCTCACATTCACCAAATTTTTTAAAATTTTAATTTTAAATTTATACTTTATACCCCTATAATTAGTTAATTAATTTACTTTACATTCTTTGGTTTTAAATATTTCATTTTACACCCTTATCAAATTAACACATATAATCGTATATCAATTAAAACATATTTAAAAATACATTTTTATTTTAACAATTTACACCATTATAATCGACTCGTTAATACCTTCAAAATGAGACCAATATTGAATAGTTTTTGACTTAATTATATTATTCCACATTTTTTTCATTTCTGCCATCTGTGTGCTGTTTCATGGGCTACCCCGTATTTAGATTGAATAAACAAGTACCAACAACTTTTACGTGTTAATTGTTCTACAGATAATGTTATTTTAGAATAAATAAAAATGTAATATAAATTATGTTATGTTCGATTTTTATAATTATATAATTATTAAAAAAATAGTAATGTCTTTAA